AAATAATAGCCCACGCTGAACGCTTTGTGATGTTGATACGCGTAAGAGCCGCTTTTAACAACGGGGACCTCTTCGTTGTTCTCTTTTTTTTCCAATATGCATTCCATATCCGCATAAATAACCAATGGCAGGCGTTCCTTTCTACCGTAATTGCGATGAGAGAGCCATTTGTTCTCGTTGTCTGGCAATATGATGACGCAATCGTTCATGACACCGCAATCGACGCTGTGAGCGATCAGTTTGTTACGCGTGTAGAAGTAATTAAGACATCTGTAAGATAAAGAAGAAGGATACATTTTGTATTTCAAAAAATCATTTATTTCTTCCTTGGGTGAGAGAAAGATATCACCGTACCTTTCGCAGATGTGTTTCCTTCGCGTATTTCGACTTATTTGTGATGATAGTAATCGAGACAGATTTTTTATCCACGCGAAATGACCTGTGACGCGAGTATTGTCACTATCATCACCATTATTATGTCGTGGTGTTGTCGTGGTAGGTATAATAAATTCACGTGAACGTCTCTCTTGTTGTCGGTGAGGCGCAGAGGAACGATATCTGTGGTGTTCTTTTTTTTGTCCACCTTCTTCCTTTTGAGGAGTGAATACATTAACGGACAGTTCATTAAGACGTTCGAATCGCGTGATTTGTTTCAGGGTCATCGGAAATTCGATGTCATTGAGTTTCAATACTATTGAATAATTCGGATATTGGCTGCATTTCTCTGCGTGATGATTCACTGGATAAGGAGCGACGGTCATCGCCCACGTGAAACACGCGTTATCGTTCGTGCGCACGTTAATGATTGCATTCTTAGCTCAATATTGCACAGGTATTTGTATCCAACAACCCGCGCGCATAGGATTGTATTTGTTAATGTTCACAAGCAGATTCAGAATGCGCGATAACACCCAACCGCTGTCGCGTTCTTGAAAATCTTCCGAAGACGTTAAAATTCTATTTATCACCGCGCCTGTCAGCACGCGATTGTTAAAAGCCGTTTCGATCTCGACCCGTGATAATTCCGCGGCGCCATGGCCCGCACCCGTTCATACGAATCGTTGATCTAAAGCGTATCTCGCTCCTTCTAGTTGTGCTATTCGAAAAATCAAAGAATTTCGCACACCAGTGGAGATTCGTCGATGCCTATCTCGACATCTGGCGCGCAGAAATTCCAAACAACGCTCATATTGTCGTATCCAAGCGTGATAAGCCTCGCGCGAATCAATGCCGATGGCAGTTTCGAGTAAATCTCGAGTCTCTTCCTCTTCCTCCGCGTTTATATTCGTTAGCGCTGTTTTTTCTCTCTCTCTCTCTTTTTTTTTCTTATAGTTTGATTATCGACTCGGTCGATTGAAAGATACAGGTAGATGCGATAGCGCTGTTTTATCGACTCGTTAACCACATAGTTGAACCCTGATTGTCTGTGGAAATGGGAAATTTAACTCGCCGAACAGTATCGCTGTAATTGTCGCTTCGCGATATTTGACGTAATTTTATATAACGCGCGGCTCTGTGGCTGCAAGCCACTGCTGTTTTAATCCACATCCGTTCGCGCGTAATATCGAGCCCGATTTCTTGTCTCAGACTGTACGTCGCTAGATTCCAATGCGATTTTTCCTTTCATGCGTGAATTTCACCATCGAGATTATCGCGTTCACTCAGATTCCACCACGAAGCATCATCGTTCGCACAAAGATAGTCAATCGAATAATTATTTTCGGTGTATGATGATGATGATGATGACGATGGTACTCGATGGACTCGTTGCAGAAAATATCGATGTCCCTGGTAATATTATTATTAGACATATTAAACACTTTTCCACACGTTGATTCTACATATACGCACGTTTTAAGAAATATCTCGTTGTCGTCGTTCTTTTATAGTCGGAAAACTCGGAAAACTCGAAAAAAAATATCATCCGGATGTGTTGCGGTTTCATTAGATGATAATATTTTACACAACTGTTTTTTTCCCCGGAAAGTCGATTCCTGCTATTGTAATAATAATAAAATAATGCTCGTTCGCGTGACGAAATGTGACGCGTTACTGATCGATTATGCGATACGTATTTTATTTTATAATTTATTTCTATTGCCGAGAGGTAAAAGAGGAGGAGGAGGAGGAGATCTGATAACGCTCGCTCGTTTGACGAAATGTGAGACGCGTTACCAATCGATAGCGTGATATTTTTATCCTTTATAATTTATTTCTATGAAGGAGAGAAAATCAAATTAAAAAATGGTGAAATAGTATTTGCGTGTATATATATATATATTTTTTTTTTTTGTGTCGTAATTATTCGCTCGTGTGATATTTATCTATATTCTTGTAGTTTTAATAGCTATCGCAGAGGGAGGGGAAGGAAGAAAAATGTGTGAAATAAAAATAGATCACGATATGATACGGTGAATTTAAAGTATATATATTTTATTTATTTCTTCGTTCTTACGATATGATACGAAATATGGTGCATTTCTATCTTATCACCTCGCTCAGATTATTATCTATCTCAGAGGAAGGGGGAAGGAGAAAAAATGTGTGAAATAAAAAATAAATCACAAATATGATACGGTGAGAATTAAAGTATATATTTTATTTATTTCTTCGTTCTTACGGTATACATGATACGACGAAATATATATTTGGTGTATTTTTATTTTATCATCTCGCTCAGATCGATTGTTTACGTAATTTGCGGGCTCGTAAAGGGGTTCGTTCGTTCCCTTCCTCTTTATTATAGCGGCGTCGGCGGTGGAAGTGACAGCGGCGTCGGCGGTGGAAGTGGTGGCATCGGATTTCGAGGCTGTATTAGCGATGTTATCATCAATATCCTTCGCAGACGAGTTGTCGATTTCCATTTTCTGTTTCTCCCTGCCGGATGATGATGATGACGACAATGGTGGTGGTAATGGTGGTGGTGGGCCACCGTGGTAATACCACGGGACGCCGTCCACGAGGGGAATATCCTCGCCGTCTCCGTATAACTCTGCGAAATAATCCGCTGGGAGAATACGAGCGTTAGGATATTTTCTTCGAAATTCTTGATGATATTTTTGAAGAGCCTCTTTCTCTTCCTCGGTGTATTCGTCCTCGTTATCGTCGCTGTAGTAGTAATAGTAACGTGAACACATCTTCTTCTTCTTCTTCTTTTTAGCGCGATACTGTATAAAGGGCGATGATGATGATGGACGATCTAATGATGTTTCACAGAGATTGGTCGTCGTCTTTTTATACTAGTTACACGTCATCGTATCGTGATTTTTTTACAAGGATGTGGTTGCATATGGCGATAGTAATAAAAGAAAAAATAGTTTCAAAGGAAAAATAATGCAAGTGTTTCCGCGCGCGTGTCCTGTTCACCGGGGTGATAAAGTTGAGACATCCTGCCGCTCAGTTATAATAAAATAATGCAAGTGCAACATACATTAGATATCAATACGGTTGACCTCAGCGAGAATGAGAAACTTCGTATTCTTTCCGTTTTTTTCCGCACGCGTGTCCTGTCTACCGGGGTGATAAAGCGGAGACACCCTTCCGTTACGATAAGAAAGAAAGATAATACGCGCGCTATACTAATATGTATATCCTTATAAATCGTTTTTAACGCGAAAGAGGGAGGAGTGAAAGGAGAAGATCTAATAAATAATATAAATGTTTTTTATTTAGTGTACACGTGTGATTGAAGTATAATTTGTTTAAAAATAAAATATAATATTACATCGTTTTTGGAGAGAGAGGTTTTTATTAAAAATAATCAGCCAATTGATCGTGTCTCTGCGACCACCAAGTGTGTAGATGCATAATATTACATAATGCGCAATTTTTCAGATGTCGTCCGCATAGAAAGGATGATCCTCCTATCAGTGTTTCCAAACGACTAATGTCCTCATAATCCACATCGATTGTTTCTATGCCGATAGTCATGTCGCAGTCCCCAAGCAGAGACAGCAACCAATCCTTTTTTTGCGAACCTTTAACGTAAATCACTGTAGTGTCGGGAGGCGTATTCATAAGAACTTCTCGAATGAGCGGTCTCATGTTCCTGTAATTAATAACACCATCGGACCATCATAGGCAATGATGATTGGCGGATAACCAAGACGCCTGCGCTTTTTCCGCTTTCGTTAGGAAAACCCATGCCATAGGCGGCATAAATATATAATGAAAGAGTTCGCGATCGTTATTATTGTTGTTACGTAACGCAGCGAATTCTTTAACAACGAAACGTTCGCGCACAACGAAACCTTGAATGTCGACAAACGTAGGTACGGATACGTTCGATATGATCACAAAGACACTTACGTAAAAATATATATATGAAGACGCGTCCTTTTATACAATTTTCCGGACCACATTAGTCAGAGGATTATACTCGACCACACGATCGTGAATAATGAGACAGAAGGCTGTGGTTTTGGCCGGAACGTCGCGTTTACACTCGAATTCCAAACGCACAGAATTCCATTCCACAGTGCCGCTCTTCATTGATTCGTTTTGACAAGAACAATCGATCACCGTGATGGGACTCAATTGTAAAAATTTATCAATGCGTAAATACACATCCTCGATTTCACACCTGTAATAGGTTTTGCGAAGTTTTGCATACATATCGTACAGCAGAGCAAATCTGTAATTTTCAAAATCCAAATTCATATCGTCATATGGATAAAATTCAGAATTCAAATATAATTTTACATTACTCAGTTTGCAATCGTCGAATTTGGAAACGTCCGCTGTCGGGACGCCTCTTCGGCCTGTTTGAAGGGCAAAAATCACATTTCGCTGTTTTTCCAATTGCGCCGCCGCTTTCACCGCCCACGAATGTTTCGCTGAAATTTGCAACAAAGGAAATTTATATAGATCCCATGAACGAAAGGTCATACTTAGATACCGGCCGCTATTCAAAGTGCGCAAAAGTGATTATTTGTTCAGATCGTTCAATACCACATGCGGCATGCGCCATTGTACCTTTAATAATGTAAGTTTAGGATTTTTAGACGTTGGTTGAGCGATAATACTGTCAACATCGTTGCGTGCGCGTATCAAAACTAATTCGTGACGTGCGTTTATTACTATACGTTTGTAATCTTCGCAAAAACTTAAAAACATATTCAGAGATACGCAGAAATTGAAATTGCGCAGATTATCGGTTAGAGACGTATTGCATTGTCAATTGAAAGAATATTCCATCCAGCATTCTGCAGTCTTTTGCTCCTTTCGGTCGGCAATAATGCGTAATTTTTTATCGTCCTGGTGATTCCGACATTTCTGATTCTATCAATTTCCACGCCATCGAGTTCGTATCTAATTTCGTCAAACATAAACGCAACGCAATTATTCACTAATTCGCATCTCCATTACTGTTCTTCCCTGTCTGCGTCGAAATCTTCAACGATATGTCCCTCGATGTAGAGAAAACTTTCACACGGTAATGTATATAAATCCTGTTGTTGTATAGGTATTCGTATTTCGTCACTGTAACCGAATGTGGCACTAGCGTACGGATTGTACGTGTGAGTTTCAATTTTGACAATACGATCGTCAAAGATCGGTTCGTCACCGATGTGCAAGATATCCATCATATTTTAATTGTTTTTCACAATGAAATCCAGCGAGCGTAGAAACGCGAGGTTAATTGTATTTAATTTGTTTCTTCTTCCTCCTCTTATCCTCTTCCTTCTATCTTCTTCCTCCTCTTATTTCTCTTTCTTATCCACCGTCTTTGAGGTTATGTTATTTATATCATTAGACTTAACGAAATGTCGTCCCTTTCTTGCCATTACAAACAAATCGTTTGAGACAACGAGCAGTTCCGCATATTTTATTTCTTTTCACCGTTATCGTCGTCGTATATGCAATCGTACGGTAATCTTTCACCGCGAAAATGAATCAGTTTTTCATCCTGATCCGCAATGCGCACCGTGAGATCGATAATGCTTCTTGTAATCACTGATAGATAAATGATTTGTCGCGGAGCCACCGACAGTTTATATCCCGGTGGGACGTGCGGCGCGAATTCGTGTATCGTATGTACCGGTTCCCCGTTATTGTATGCTCCTGCGGTAATATTATACTCTATGCGAATTATATTTATACTCATAATATTTACAGGTTTGTTAGATACATACCATTTATTCGGTTCCAAAACACGCGACGAGGAAAAACCCAATAACGATCCGATATTATTCGGCTTTGTGAAATTCAATCTATAAATAGATTTTATTTCGCTCTTCATAGTATTTTCATTCGCGCGAAGAATAAAGAAACGATCGTTTCTTTCATGATTATCATCAATATCATTTCCATCGTCGTCATTATCATCATCAATAATATAGTCCACAGATGTTTCGCGATCACTTAATAAATGTATATCACTCGCTTTATTTTGTTTTTCTTTATCATCATTAATAATATCCAACCTGACTCGTTTTGCATCATGTTTGGTCTGTTTTTCAATGATGTCGTGTTTCAGTTTGTTTATTTTTTTTTAATTCTTCGCGCAAGAAACGCACCTATAGCAGTTAGTTCGTACGTTCCTTCGGGAATTGTAATTATCTTGTCGTCATGATCGAAGTAAAATTTATTATTTGTAAAATTTACATTCGGTATCGTATTGTATGTTTCAAAATTTGTCAAGCCCAATTCGTATTCACCATCATTGAAATCCAATGCCGGAAATGTGCAGTGAGAATACTTTCTGTTCCGGTTAATGTGAGAGTTAACGATGACGACATGGTGAACGTATAATCAGAGAGCGTTCCAATCGAGCTCTCGAAGAAAACGAAAACTTAGTTGATCGCAATTACGTTGATCGAAGGTTTGATACGAATGATGATTGTACGCAACAGTTATATAATTTCCAAGATACCGTACTATTTCGTGTGGCGGTCTAAGATTACCGAAACTGTCGAAATATATCGCTCTGTTGTCTTTTTCCGCACAGACAACTCAGTGTGTACCTGGATTAATTGCATCATCAAGATTCACAATTAAACTTTCACATCGACGCGCTCGCGACGGTAATGCATTGCGCATAAATGCACCGCGGAAAAACGGAATGTGCGTACGACGTGCTGCACGATCTAATTGTTCACTTGTCGTAGTATCGGACAATGATACATTAAGCGCGATTAACGTTTTGTTCCATGGATTTTTTTTTCTAACATTCTTTTTTCCGACGCATCCGCTACCGCGTTTGTATGGCGCCCAAATAAAGTCCGCGACCTTCCATCGCGCGATTATGACTTTGTAATTTTTCCAGCTGACGACGAGCGACCTTACACTCGTTTACGACTTTTGCTACATCAGCGGCACCACCGATCATTAAACCGAGCGCACCGAGTATCGGTAATAGAGGTAACAAGCCGCCGCGTTTCACTATCGGAAGTATTCTCTTTCTCGTATTTTTCCTCTTCCTTTTCACGCCCAATTTTGTTTTTGCTCTCATGGCTGCCCATACAGCAGTTGCGACAATCTTATCGTCGCTTTAAAAACGGAGTGAGTATTCGATACGAGCAGCGCGCGCGCGCGGTAGTCATTGAGTCTGTCACTTTTGCGAATGAACGATATCGTGATCACGACACACACAACGTTCAATGGAGATTCTTATCTTGCTCACCGTGCGCACGTCAATCGTTGTTTCTTTTTTTCATTTAAATGAGCATCGAATACGCAGATTTTATAGAATGGTATGTGTAATTTGAAACATTACTTATCGCTCCATCGAACAATCAGTCATCTGAGAATTTTGCGACTTTTGACGACATTCGGTACAATTTCGACAAGACGGTGGTGGACAATTTATATGAGTTCTATCCCATGGACGATTGTAATGTTCCATACATACGCGATATTATTGCACCTCAGGATCCGCTTTAATGTAAGACGGAAGTTTGTCCCATAATTTCTCTACAAAAGTAGAATATTCACGCAATAGAACAATCTTCGGAATGTATTCCAATTGTTCAATGTCACAATAGCCTCTTTGTTCGTGAGTAAAAAGAAAACCATTTTGTTACCCATGCGCGCGCGACGAACTCGTATGCGAAATAACTCACTTGATTCTGATCGCTGCGCGCGATCCAATCGCGTATAAATAGTAGCACATATTAATCTATTCCACCATTGTGTATGTGTGTATGTGTGTGTGAGTGAAAAGACATAAAATAGAGAGAAAGAGAAAGAACGATAAAAGTATGCGCATGCGCCGCACAATATGAAATTCGTACGATAACAACAAACGATAGGTGTGCCGAATCTCGATCATAAGATACGATTATTACCAAATGTGATGATTCAAAATATGCGTAGACATGGTTCTTTATTACCAAATTCGATACGTTGCATCATCTGTGGCCCTTCCAATTGTGGTAAAACGAATGTTTTGATAAGTTTACTAGAAAGTCCGTACGGTGTGCGTTTCGAAAATATTTATATTTATGTGAAATCATTGCATCAACCGAAATATCAGTATCTTGAAAAATTATTCAATTCGATAGATGAAATTGGATATCATGCGTTTTCCGATAATCGTGACGTCATATTACCGAGCGAGATACTACCCGATTCGGTATTCGTGTTCGATGATGTAATCTGCGATAAGCAGGACACAATCAGAGAATATTTCGCTATGGGTCGACATTCGAGCATTGATTGTTTTTATCTATGTCAAACATATGCTAAAATACCGAAGCATTTGATACGCGACAATGCGAATTTATTACTACTATTTCGACAAGATGGCACCAACATGAAACACATATATAATGTTCTCGTGAACACCGATATGTCGTACAAGCAATTTTGCGACTTATGTCGTGAATGTTGACGACATAAATACGGATTCGTTACAATAAATAAAGATTGTGCGTTACGAAACGGTCGATATAGGAGAGGTTTTAATGATTTTGCCGTGCTGTGATAAAAGAAAAAAAGATATTTGTGATTTTTGTGACGTAGTCACAACGAGTGAAACAATAATATGGAAAACTTAAATAATGTCAAATCGAAGGATAATTTTCAGAAAAGAGAAGATACTCTAAAACAAATTGCTAAAACACGTAAGGTAATTCGTAAGAAACATAGAATGTTGAAAAACGGTATCAGGGAAGAGGATATTGCATTGGAAAAAAAATATCCGATGGAAAAGAAACCGATTGTCGAACCATTAAAACGCACTGTCGAACAAACCAAACCGAATATTATTTCAAACAATACAATTAACAGTGATGATGATAAATAAGACAATAAAAATAATGATAATGATAACGATGATGATATATTTACCACACCGATTTCTGCATATTCGACGAAAAAAAGAAAACGATTAAATGTCACATCATCATCATTGTACGATTCGTCAACAGAACCTCAACATACTGACTTGAAAGGGAGAAAATGACAAAAGACGAATGCGATTACCATTACTTTAAATGGTACTGAATACGCAGGAACACCAGGTCTATACGAATTTATTCAAACGACTCCCCGATGACACGATCTTTACAGATAACGATAAGCAACAATACAAAAATATAATTTTGACAATGAACATCCACAGACGCGAGCACAAGAAGCTCTTATGCCGATTATGTGTAATAAAGGATGTAAATATAAACACATCATAGCGCGGNAATAACGAATATCGTTAATTCATCGAATATATTACCGATTCGATCAACAATGAAATTATCAAATGTATTACCGATTCAATCGACAATGAAATTAACTGACAATAAAATTGAATATATTTATTGGGATGATCCGAACGAATTGGTAGAACGTTTCAGATTACTCGATGCGTCGCGTAGAGTCAGCAACAATGCACACGACAACGAGATCTTATCGATAATCAAGGAGCTCCGTGAAGCTGGATTTATTGTCAATTAGACAACTCGTAAGGATACACACACATATCGGAATGTCGGTGAATAAATTCAGCGCTTCTTTGGAAAAACACGATAATAGCAACAGTGAGAGTGAAATTCGTGACAAATTATATTCTTTGCGATCATACGTTCGTAATAACACGCCCAATTTAGACACGAATCTTCATTATAACGCGAAGAAAAAGAAATACAAAATTTAGCCGCTCCAGAACTCGACACTGACGCGATTAATAAACATTATATTGATAACGTATTACATGCCATAAGAGACAAAATCGATACGTCACAGACAGTTGTAAAAAAACTCATTGATGAAAGTAAAGAAAAAATTCATGGCGTCATCACGGACCTAACGAAAAAAATTGACAAAGTGTTCGAAGATATAAAAGTGATTGATGAATTGTCTATTAACATAACCTCGCTATTAGTAAGTGAAGGTAAAGTACAAGATGTCATTGCGGATCTGATGAATAACATTGACAGAATTTCAATCTCCGTAACCTCTTTATTATCAAATGAGAATAGAATACACAGCGTCATCACAAATCTGTCGACTAAAATGTGCGACGTATTAGAAATTTTGAACAAAGATGTCATCTCAGATCTAACGATTAAAATTGATACCATTTCAATGACCATAACGTCGCTATTGTCGAATGAAAATAATATGCGAAATATCACCACGGATCTAACGAATAAAATTGATAATATTTTAATTGACATTGTATCAATGTCGAATGGAAAAAATGTACAAAGTGTCATCACGAATTTAATTAATAAAATAACTAAAATATTAGGTGAACAA